CTGTTCTCCCTTTCCGCAGGTCGCTTCGGACGCGGCCAGATGCAGCCTGCATTTGAGAAGGCAAGGGTAGAAGCCTTCAAAAGTCTTCCGAAGAGAGAACAGAGTGAGGGAGAGGAGAGGAGAGGCAGCGTGTTTTTCAAGGCGTGCGTGTGTGTGTGGTCATAACTAACACAAATTTGTGGATTGAGTGTGTTTTCTCGGGATGCTGCAACGAAGCTGCTACCTGGTTTCATGAAGAGCAGAGATTGGCCCTGTCGTAGTTGCGATGGCAAGAGCCTACGCTCGAGACAAACACATCATTGGTGTATGTTGTTCCGTCCTCAGAGCATGTCCTTGAGTGCCAAAGACTTGAATACGTTACACATGCTCCCCGTGTGTGTGTGTGTGTATAGTCTGTCTGTCCGTATCTGGGTATGTCTGTGTATGTATGTATGTATGTATGTATGTATGTATGTATGTATGTATGTATGTATAATATACATATTGTGTATATGTGTATGTATATGTATATGTATATGTATGTGTGTCTATGTATGTGTGTCTATGTATGTATGTATGTATGTATGTATGTATGTATGTATGTATGTATGTATGTACGTCTGTATGTATGTATGTATGTATGTATGTATGTATGTAACTATGTATGTACGTCTGTGTGTCTCCGTGTCTGCGTGTGTGGGTGGATTCTAAGCTGAAGGTTTCTGGAGAGATGCGCCGCTTTGCCAATTTCAGCAGCAGGGACACGAGTCTGCCACCAACAAAGACATTCCGGTTTCCTTGGTGATGCCCGGTCTGATCAACCGTGTGTACCTGCAACTTGTGACATAATGTGCCATCTCCGTTGTGCACTGGTTATCTTCCCAACTCCGGAATGCCACATGTTCAGAAGTTTTCACGCCTTCCTGGATGAGAGTGATGTCGCATTGCACCGTCATAATGGAAGCTGCAGGTTACCGACACTCAGGCAACTCATATTCTGACGTTTTGGCAAGGCGGCAACAGCGGCTAAAAGCCTATATCACCTTACATCCACCGTCTCCGTGTCTGTCTGTGTGTGTGTATGTATGTATGTATGTATGTATGTATGTATGTGCTTGTGGGGGCGGGGGCGCGCCTACTCGTGCTGCTGTGGTCTGTGCTTTGGGATGGATTTGCCGATCGGCCACAGGCCGCGTTCGACTTGGATGTCAATGAGCTCAGCACCTCGGTCTCATCCGTTTAAGTCTACTGCGACAGCTAGCGAAAACATCGCGAGCCGAGCGGCAGCGTGCCACACAAAGAAGCGTTGCGCATTTTGTTCGTGGCAGCCGTTGCAAGGCCATCTCGTCACGACCGACAGCGGTGTTCACATCATTTTGAGGCTCGAGTAGGTCCATGACGTCAGAAGATGCGGGTGATGCTGCGGCTGTAGTGCAAACCCCGCCGAACTTGAAGTTGACCACCTATCTGCGGCACAGAGCTAGCATCAGCACCGCTCTGACATTCTTTGAATCTGTTTCAATGCTGGTGTCCACCAGAAGCCTGCAAGTCCTTGCTTGCCTCGCATGATGTCCAGCAAACTCAATCTGGTTTGAGTGGTCAAAGCGCTGCAAAGATGTTTTGTGAACATGGCCGTCTGGCCGGGGGACAGACTCAGGATGCGTGCTGTTGGAGCCGTACTAGTCAGTTCTACTCACCGCCCATAGGAAAGCTGGCACAATTCAGAGACTCTGAAAATATTGAGTAATTATGGGGGCCAGCAGCTATGCCCAATGAGTAAACGCGGGCACTGACTTGTTCAGAGAAGTTCGGAGCAGAACCATATCAAGACTCTTGTATTTCGGGCTGAGGACCTGTCTGTGTTGCCCAAACTTCGAGGACTTGCGGCCATGGGTTGGCATTTGATTTCGTCGTGTGAGAATCGCACAGAAAGGCCCCCGCTGGTCCTCTGTAGCCCAGGCTTTGAATTTCTACAGCAGGTACGTGCACACTGCATGATGGCCACGGAAGGTCCATCGGAAGTCGTTACACCAACCGTGTACAAAGTTCCGTGACAGACTGCACGGCTTATCACTACAGTCTCGTTTTCGGCGACATCCTCCAAGGCCTGTCGTACAGGTGTCAGTAACTTGAACTCTGTGTCGCATGAATCGCCAGAGCTGGTGGATGTCATCGGACTTGCCGCTTTGGATGCAGTCTGGATGCAGGGACAAGCTTGCGCACTCTGCGAGTGCGAAACACACCCGAAGCAAACCTGCAATAAAGCATCGGACAAGGAAAAACAAGTCTGCTGAGAGTGGCCACTGTGCCGACGGTCTTCTCATCGACTCATCTTGGACTGGAGACGAGTGAAACTGAGAGAGCGAAGTGCACCATGCATTCAGCAAGCTACACCCTGCCGGCAGAGCTGCTTGCCTCCGGCCCCTATGTCACGCTTGTAGCACCGTGCCACTTGTGCACAGGTGACAAGCGAGTCTGGTAGCTCACCGCATTTCCACATGCGAGCGTCAGCACGCGCGAAAGGCAGAAAGGGTTACGGCTGCCGCTCATATGCACAGCCACCTTTGTCCTGAATGGTTCTGTTGAATTTCAGAATTCCCTGCCAGCCTACCGAAACCTGCCCCAGCTTGCAGATCAGGTTGTAGCGCCTCCGCCACGGGCAACACTTGGGCCTCCCAAGGCATGCCGGCTTGAAAGCTGTTCAAGTCATCATCCATCTTGACTGCTATCCAGCATTCAAGCTACTTGCAGGTGTCACCTGGCAACACACCCTGCGGCACTCCATGCACCACGCCGCTCCAGGCTGCGGCTACTTTGATGGAACAGCAACGAGGGAAGAGGTTCTGTCGGAAGATATCAATTTATAAGTTTAGGCTATGGAAACATGCAGGAAGCCGGAGCTCCAAAATAAATACGGACAATGAAACAGTTCTGTCTGGAAGGAGGGGTTCATACGACCGCTGGAGAGCATGTTCTTCCGTTTGATGCACGTCGTGCATGCTAAGGGTAAGGCTTCGCTTACCTTCGCGAGCATGTTGCAACACGGTCTGTCGCTTGCAAATGCTTGCAATCTCTGTCGCATTTGTGTAGCATCCTTTGCCGCCTTGACATCAAGAACTTCCCTGAAGCACCGCGATCCTGCACAAGCAATGCACGCCCCCGTAAACATCACGGTGTAAAAGCTCAACTACTTCTCATCTGAGCGGTCCACAGACATGATGTTAGCATGTTGTTTTTGTCGTGTCAGGGCTTGTTGGCGTGTGTGCTCCGAATAATTCGATATTCTTGTCTATACAGCCCTTGCCATTCACTCTGAAGTTGCGAAAGCTGGGACGACACGTCTCAGTATCCTGAAGTCACCATGACGAGCTTCATTGGGCAGAGTCCCGGCAGTGGATTCCTACCTTCAAAGTTGCTGGCCCGAACCACAATGCGGGCAGCCGTGTTGTTTAAAACCCAGATACCAATGATGCTTTGTCTGGCTAGACTAAAGCAGGCAGCGGCATGTGCCTGCAAGCAACCGCAACACTGTCGGACCATTTGCTGCCACATCATGTTACGATGGCTCTAGCTCAAGATTCCAGAGATTTTAAACGGTGCAAATGTAATCTCCACCGGAACGCGTTGCAAACTTCTGCGCCTCTTCCAAATTTGAGGGGGTTGAGGTGCGCTTATCAGATTGGACATATTGTGTGTCGAAACAGAAATGGAAAGGGGCCGCGGAACTTGAGGGAATGGTGCTAAGTCTCGCCTGTGCCCATATCAGGAATCCTGATCGCGAGCAGAAGCCACAGCTCCCAGATACTCCCAGTCTACTCAGCATCTGGCGCATCAAGAAACAATCGTGTGTAAAGCTGCCGTCGGCCGCAGTACCTGCCTGCAAAGAGGATGTTGGACGTGCAAGGCAAAACTGCGACCAATCTCATGCGCCCTGATTTCGTCACTATCCGGCTTGCATGTGATCCTGAACAATATCGTCTGCACTCTGTCCTTACCTGCTTTCACTTGGGGCCTGGACAGTTAATCGCAAGACCCCTGCTTTTCACAACTGGTGCGGTTGGTTGAAGGATTCATTGTTTGCTTGTCTACACCTGCCGGTTTAATGTGATCACATCCAGGTCAAGACTAGCCGCCGTGCAACTCCCAAACCCTGAAGCCTTCAGGTGGAGCGACCACCGGAGTATCCAGGCACATGGGGCAAGGGAGCAAGGGCTCGGAGAATGGAGCTACAGAGAATCCTCGGGTGGCAGTGGTAGTAGCACGCAGTGATAGTAGTCATCGTCGTCGTGGTCGCAGTAGCAGTAGTAGTAGCAGTACTAGCAGTAGTAATGGTAGTAGCAGTAGTAGTAGTAGTAGTAGTAGTAGTAGTAGCAGCAGGAGTAGTAGTAGTAGTAGTAGTAGTAGTAGTAATACTAGTACTAGTAGTTGTTGTTGTTGTTGTAGCAGTAGTGGTAGTGGTAGTGGTAGTGGTAGTAGCGCAGAAGCCTGGAGGCGCGGCGGTCATTGGTTGCCATGAAGGGAGCCTCCTGGAGCCTCCTGGAGCCTCCTTTTGTTCAGGTCTACTATGGGGTACTATGGGTTCAAAAGGTTGGTATAGGATAGTATAGGGTACTTATCGGGTACTTGTAGGGTACTCATAGGGCACTATAGGGTAGTATAGCCAGACTTAAAGGGGGCGAGAAGCCTTCAAAAGGGATACTCTTGGAGAGTTTTCAGGACGCAGGACTTCTTGTTTCAGTAAGAGCTGGATTTTGAAGTCCTTGCTCTCAGCAAAGCCAATGCGAGGCTTCCGGGTTTCTTGTAGGCTCTGAGGGACAGGCTGGCAGCAAAATCAGCATGTTGGAACTCAGTCTGCATCATTTGGTTCTGCATGATTTTGATGTCCATGCTGGAAAAAAATGCGGGTGCTCGGTTCATGGTGACTGCAGCAGCATGTGAAAAAGACATTCAACTCCTCTCGTAGATTCTACGACGTTAGATATTCTAGTATGCTACACTCGGGCCTGGGGTTTCGTTTCCAGGACCCGAAGACAAAGTGGAGACTGGTCCCCGTCTCGGACAGTGGTGAATTCTGGCTGGTGACGGGGCCAAATCATCATCAGCCAGGATGGGGCACTGGAACGAACAGACAAGTGGTCTCATATAAGCTCGCAAATTACATTATGCCGCGTTACTTCGTATGGTGCAAATAGAGCGTTAGAGTATTATGTGGGACTCTGTGCTTCGGAACTCACCTTTACATGCTTCAATCCGATCCCAGAGTTTCATACGGTTGCTGTGATTGATGACGTTGATAAGCATGTGTTGATGATGATGTTGATGATAACAATGCCACCGTAGTCTCCGTGTTTACGTATCACGACGACTGTAACAATGAGGCTGCCACTGCTGCTGCGACTGCTACGACGACTGCTGCTGCTCGTGCTGTCGTGCTAGTGGCGAGTGTGTGAAGTCACACATGTCATGAAGACCTGCCAGGCGAGATGCTTTACCTGTCGAACTCAATCTGGAGCAGGCACGCGTTTTGGCGCGATCCGAATTGCCAGTGGCGCGTGGTGGAGGTGGCGTATGGTCTGCAGCCGTTCATGCTGAGCCCGGCCGAAAATTGGATTGTGGGCGCTGAGGGTCACAGAAGCTACGAGGATTTCATGCTGATTTGGAAGGCAGCAAGATGCAGTTCCAGCACTGGGATTTGCGAATCTGTGGCAGATGCCAGTGGCGGTTAGAAATCCGAGCATCCGAGGGTCCTAGGGCTTGCTAGACTCGCAGAGTTCTCTCCGCGGCAGGTTGGCGGCACCCACATTCACAACTTCAACTACGACGGCAGGTGCCGCTGGCTGTTGAAGCCAGCATCGAATGGTGAATTTTGGCTCATCACTGGTTCGGAAGCAGACAACCCCAATGCAATGCTGTACCTAAAGAGTGGCAGCTTCTGGGTGCATTCGCCAGCCTGGCCCGATCCCAAGTGCACGTGGCTTGTTGTCTCCGCTGGTGATGGTGGCTTCTGGTTGGTGACGGCTCAGAACCATCACGATCCAAACCAGATGCTGTACATCAGTGATGGCCAATGGAAGCACACGGGCTTCTGGGAAGACCCTAAAACGAAGTTCCGATTCCTGCTCAATGGCTGAGTCGTTGGTCTGGCTTCTGGGTCGGGTTTAGAAAATGACCCTTCCGCTTCGTAGCGGCGTAGCTCTCACGGCAGCCGTTCAGACCTCGGCGATTTGGCATCGATCCTGTGCTCGTTTGTGGAAAAAAAGGAGCCGGATAGCATGCCGCTCGGTCCGCCGCAGGCTTCCGCTAGCACCCTTCCGACACCAGGCAACAGGACGACAATGCCCCTTCGGGCGGCGAGACCGAAAGTGTCGCTTCGCAGCAGCAACCTTTAAGCGCCTGCCGTGGTACTTCTAGTCTCGGCAACCCAGTAGGCTCCCCGTTCAAGGCCGGTGCTGCAAATCCTCGACTCATTGCGCTGGACAAGACGGGAAGCGACGAGAAAGCTGCATTCAACTGGATTTAGCATGCAGATCGCAGCTTCGAGTTGAGACGTTGAACAAGTCTCGGAGGAAGTTCGGGGTTGCATCACACTACAAATCTAAGTCTATGAGTCGGTGACTCTGACGAGCTTGTAGGCCGGAAGCTTCCGACTCGGCAGGGTTTGGAGGCACGGGGACCCCCTAAGTTCTGACTTGGCATCATCCGCAGCACTTTGCCCTGCGCTGCCTGGGTAACCGGTCGGAAAAGCCCCAGCTGTGTGACCGAAAGTTGATTGCGTTCCTCCGGCTTTGTAGATCATGCGTGTGAAGCTGCTGTGGGTATGTTAATGAGCAGTAGCAGTCTTCAGCTATATACAGTTACAAATTTCGGTATCACTACAACTGCGATGACTACTGATAAGACGACTATTAGTATAGCTACTTTTTTGGTCATTTGGTCACTGGCATACGTTGGTAAATATTGCAGTACAGTGGGTTATAATTAGCATATTGGTATAAGGGATATAGATATAGAATCTTCAGTTTTTTGGATTTGTGGATTATTTTTAGGGTACATTGCGGTAGCTTAAATGTGCTTCGCAAGCACCCGCCGGCTCAAGTTCGTTTCAGCCCTCCAGCGCCATGGCCCTGCAAATCTTGATCCTTGGCTTCTTCCTGCCTGGAGCTGCGTCAAAGTCCTTTCCGTTTCCTGCCCCTTGGGGTTGTGTTCGCATGAAAGGTTTAGTTCGACTTTCTTGCAGCGCACCAGAATTTTCTCTAGCAGATCTTCAACCCTGGTGACTTACCTACCGCGACCTTGTACTAAGTAAAACCATCTACAAAGATTCTATGGCTATACCCCGCTTTACTCCCATGTCGCCAGTTATGCCTTGTATACCCCAAGGAACTAGTGCGCCAGCATGACCTAGGATGACTTCGGGCACACTCGCCACTGCGACACATGCAGTGGCCCGGGCGCCGCCCAATGCAACAGCTCGGATTGCCAGACTCGGTGCGTGAATGAAGGCAAGCAGTGCTTCAAGCCCAACCGCTTCAAGCTGGGCTGTTGCTGCAACCCGTCTGAAGTCCCCAACCCGGAGATCTACAAATGCCGCACCGGTGGCACGCACAGTGGAGACTGCAAGTGGGAGTGTTGCGAGGCACGTCGGTATGGAGAACTCAAGGTATGGCCAGTCATCTGCGGAGACGGCTGCTGCGTGCCTAGCGACCACGGGTGGCCGACGCAGTGCGGCGCAAGCTGGAAGCTGCCGCTGCAGGGGTCGGCTCCTACGCGGCATCCGTGCTGTCTGCCGAAAGGAGCGACGCAGGATCGTCAGAATGGCGCGCGCTGCTGCTTACACGGTGATGGTGTGGACTGCTCTTCGCCTGGCCAAGATGAGCCTTGCTGTTTGCTGCCAAGCACCAAGGTCTCCCACAACAAGAGTTTCAGCCATGATCCCCATGCAGTCTGTCAGAGAAACTCATGTGTAGCTTACGTTCCATGTGCTGGCACGGGCAGGGGCGTGCTGTGCAGCTCGCTAGACAAGTTTGTTTGCTGCCTGCGTGAGGGCAGTCCATCTGCACATGACCCATGCCAGCTCAGTGTTGCTGATTGTAGTACACATTACTCACCTTGCCGCGTGACAGACCAGCAAGGCATTGATTGTGCATCGCACAGCGGGAAAAGCATTTGCTGCTTATCAGAAGGCAAGGAGGCCGGATCGTGTCGCCGGTCTGAGTCTGAGTGCGCAGCATACCACCGGCAGCAGACGCGCATGGCTGTCATTGCTGTGGTCTCATCGGTTGCAGCAATCGTACTCCTGCTGGAGCTGTGCTGGCGCTGCTACAAGCGCTTGCGCTTGTGCTATAGGAGCTTCATGGACAATTTGGTCTCCCCGTTGCTTCTTCCGAGCGGCGACATTGCTTCGGTGAGCCCATTGATTGACCATCCATACCGCGTGCTGCTTGCCATTTCATGCGAGGCTTACTACGACACGGCGAATTATCCAAGGCTGACGACACCACATGCAGATGCGGATGTCTTGGCACAGGAGTGCCAGAGCATGGGCTACGACGAGGTGGGGGTTGGAGCCTAGGCATCCTTGTTTTTATCACCCCACATTGGCCTCCCATACACCCCTAATGCGCCTGTAAAGTATGCCCAGAATACACCCCCACATGCTTGTAGAATATACCATGCAGTAATATACCACACTTACCCCCCCAAGTCCTTCATCGGCGGGGGGTAGGATGTCGAGACACCGGTGTATGTCGATCACAGACGTAAAGGGCGCCTCGCAAGTCAGAGGTGCATTACAGGCTAAGTCACAGGGTTTTCTAGGGGTGTACGTGGGTTTCTTCGGGTGTATTGCAGATGTATGAGGCGTAAAAAAAAGGTTCATATCAGGGCATATATTGGGAGAAGCCTTGCTTAATCTGTGCAAAAAGTTGAGGAAGCTTAAGAATCAAAACGTGGTCAAGCAACTGTACGAGGCATGTTCCATTCTTCATTGCGTGCGGGGTAATGGGCTTTACGACGGTGCATACCAGCTTCTCTATACCAGGAGCCTTACAGGGGTGTACTGGGGAAGTTGAACAAAGGCGTCATACCGCGGCCCATATTACAGACCACCCCGGAGTCCATGTGAAAGAGTTGCTGAGTGTAGCTCATACCTCTCCAAGGTGCTTCTTGTGCGGGCCTCTACTCGGGCAGATATCGACACTGGCTTGCGCACAGCCGTCCAAAAGGTGGCTGGCACAACTAAGGCGAAGGGTTTGCACTGCACCAAACATGACGATCACAAGGTTAGGAGGGCGACAAGAAGCTAAGGGCCTTACAAGAGTCAGTAGTGGCTTGTTTGGGTCTTTGATACTTCCATCTCCTATCATTCCTATGAAACATTAGAAATTGTAGTTCCGTGCTGACGGTTTTGTAAGTAAGCTAAGACTATGCGCATTCTCCTTGTTCTTAGCCGAGCCCGACCCCTCTTGCTGTAATTAGGACAATTGACACTACCGTATCTCGACTGCACGGTGTCTAGCAGGGGTGAGGTTAAGCTTTGGTTTGGGAAGGTGATGTGTAAGCTTCGACATCAGAGAAGTACTTTACTCGTTCTCATTCTACCATGCGGGGGTTGGCCTAAAATCATTCTAGCACGGGTCCCTCCCTACTTTGGCTTCCCATTAGATGGTGAGTCCTTATAGTCTCATAGTAGCTTTCTCCCCGTTTTCGGAGCACGAATTAAGGCCGGTCCGGTCTCTTTTCACTCCCTCTACCTGAGAGGCCCTGCTGATGATCTCCTACTCTGGCCATGCTGTTGAGGTGGACGGCAGGATGATGTGGGCCCCAGAGAGTGCGAATCATGATGACATGGGGACCCATTTCGATGCAAGTTGCTTGTGCCGCGACCTTATGGAAGTGCATCTGGACGACGGTGGGGGCTTCTGAAAGCAAGGTATGTTAAAGGGTCAGTCGCTGTAGAGCTCCCTTTCCACCTCTTTTAGGCAGACCTCCTCCAGGCATAGCGCGGTTTGGCGCTACCCAGCCGGCGAAGAACTTGTTCGCGGTCCTACTGGCAGACTGCTGCCGTCATCCGAGCGTTGGGAACCATTGCGATCCCCTCCGGAGCATCTTGAGTCGCAGACGCCGTGGTGACCGAGGCGGCTTGTATGTCATCTACTCGTGTGGCCCGGGGCTGCGGGCCGATGACGAGTCCTCCGGTGGCCATAGCCCGTTTGTGCAATCCGTCCAGGAGTGGGGGGTGCCTTCGAAGAACACCACCCGTGCCCACATCATCCGAGAGTTTCACAACTGCAGAAACTAGTGTAATCCATATCTTGCCGCTTGTTAGTCCCATCTTGGCACTTGAACACTCAAAACTCAAAGAGGCTTCGGTCCATGAGCACAAGTGGTTGCAGAATCCTTGCACTATCCTCCTGCGCCTGCCCTTCAACATAAGTCCCCCCAAAGACGTCATGTCCCTTACAAGAGCTTCATTGCAGGTCCGTAGATGGGTTGTAGATGGAGAACTGCCAGGGAGCCTAGTACCCCATGCTGTTACATAGACCTTAAATCACATTGGGATTGGGGGCCCCTCCATGGATGGTGGCTGCAGTTCTAAATTATGGGGTAGTGCGCGTCTTGGGTTCATGTGAGGGGGAAGTGGCGCATGCGTACATCATAGTTAGTTGTCCAGGAGCAGCTGCGCCTCCCACAGCGGGTGGGCGTCTTCGCAGACAACGTGGACGCAGGGCTGCGAAGGGCGACTGGGGGGAGGCCACTAGCACAAGCAAGCAGTTGGCTCAATGTCATGTTTGCAGTCTTGCGGGTGCAAGGTTCGATGAGGCGCAATAGGCCTAAGAGGCAATTGGGCGGTGGAACCGTTCTCTTCGTCAGGCCATTTTGGGTGACACCTGCGTACGTCTAATAACCCTCCAATGTCTCGTTGATTAGTATACCGCAATATACAGTCTATTCTATACCCTTCATATACGCCAATATACCCCAATGTACTGAAGCGCAGGCGTTTCAGCAGTGGCAGAAGCACCCTTTTAGGAACAGGCCAAATGCTGTAATATGCAGGCTGAAACGGTTGCTAGGGTCCCAGCCCCGATGAGAAGCTACATTGTTAGGTCTACTGGGCTCAGACTGATAA